TAAACATTCACTAAAGTTGTTTAAAAAGTAATTATCAAGGGAATTATGTTTAAGCTTATTAAATTCGATAACTAATATGTAAGGTTATAAAACTTATTGACAGTTAGTTTTATACCCAATATTTAGATAGTTTTGCGTTGTTCTTAAAGTTCCTAGGATTAAATAGTTACCCGGCTAAGTGAGCCCTTCTTTAAATACTTTGTATTCTGATTGAACACCCAGTAACAAAATCCCATTAGAGGTTGGTATAATGCGATAATTCTAACTAATGCGGCTGTCATCGAAAGATTGAAGGATATTGAATATTGTTGAATGTGTAAAAATAAAATCCTTGGCTGTAACCACTGTCAGTATGTCTTAATAATTATGATTTGATATGATATGATGATTTTTGTATGTAGTCTTTTTAATAGGTCATGCGTTATTTGTATCATTGTGCTTGTTCTTTTTTCCACATTTCACATTGAACAATAAGAATAGAGAGAATAGTCTGAAACAACTAGTAAAAACTATAAGTGTTTTATTTATTTTTTATTTTTACATTTATCACAGTTGTATGATTAAATAATAAATATAGAGATTCGTCCCAGATTTTTTAGACATAATATATACCAAAAGCTAACAACTTCAAATTGAGTTTCTTGCTTATAAAACCCTCAAAGTTTGTTTACTTTGATAGATTGTTATTTTGTTTTTTTTCATCCGGGGAAACATTTCAAGACTTCACAGCTGGTTAGTTGTATTTACCTTGAGAATTTATATTAAATAACAAAACAACAAGATTATAAAACTTGATATTTATTCAGACCATTGGGTTTTATTTCACAATTGAAACTAGTTTGAATAGTATGCAGTAACTACAACTAACTCAACTAAATGCATCTGTTTTTACAAATAAAAATCCCCCAATAAATTTATTTATATTTATTTATTTCATTTAAGTAATGTTATAATAAATCACGTTTAGTACTCATATACTATGTAGGCAAATATTTATATGAACATACGAATAAAACAACGCTTGTATAAAACAAAATTCCCAATGATAACTTTTTACTATACTCATAGAACATTGTGAAAGACTACTTATGACATGAAATATCATCACTTTTGCATTTTTCGAATTAACTATTATCAAAGCAAATGTTTGCAGTATATATATTAATTTTGAGTGATTCTTTCCATTTGGGATCTTCTTAGACAAAACTGTTGTTATTCCATAAGTTAAGAATTAATAAACCATCACGTGGATTTAAAAATAATTTTGAAAATATTATTATATTTACTTGTTTACTCATTCAAGTAGTTATTATTTTTCATTGAGTTATCACATGTCCATCATGTAATGTTATTACAAAATAAATTGTAAAAACCTTTTTCGTTATGTTTTTTTGGAAACAATAACACATTTCAGGTAAAGATTTGTATACATAAATTATCATACATATATTGCAGCATATATATGTGCATAAATATACAATTGATTTTAAATCCGTTCTAAATTTCGAAAATATATTAGCTTCATCTTGAAGTAAACTTGTTGTGAAGCCGACTCATGATTCAATCAAGTCCTTATAACTCGTCCGGCGAAAAATACAGTCTAATTGGACTCGAATTTAAGTTCCTTGCTCAAAAACTCCTCAAAGTTGGTTTACCTTTACAGTTGTTGCTGGAACTTTTCCTAAAAGGCTCGTAAGTTCATCATTTTTATTTTACTTGTGATATTCTTATTTACTCCTCAAGACTCTAAAAAAGAGTGCTAGGTAAAATTGTATTTTATTTAAGCCTTTTGACAAATAGTTTTTATAGTGCTTTGTTATGTCTGGTAATAATATAATAATATTTTGGAGAATTCGGTTAACAGTATGTCAACTTTCTGCAATTTTAGACTCTTTTAAATAATTGCTTATGAATGCTGAAATATAAAATAAAATTCCTCATATGTATTTTAAATGCGCTCAAGAAATTCTAAGTATGTCTTACTAATGGGATCCTTAATAGAAGAGGTTCACATTTTCCTTATTGAAAACATGAATTCCCTAAATACGTAGAACATATTTGCTTCTTCCTCGATAGCATTTCTAACTTGATATTAAATAATGAATAAAATACTAAAATAAGAATTATTCAAATAATTATTAATATAAAATAAATACGAAGGTAAATGTCTTACACAATTTAAAATCTCACTCTTTTTTTGGATTATTTGTTAATTTTTCAATATTGGCTAACTTACAAATCATAAAAAATCACAAACTAATACCATTATCTTATAACTAAAACCACATTCTTAAATTGAAATATGAACTTTTCTTGGTGGTTTTCTACAAGGAAAATATACACAGTAGTAAAAGTAGTACATACTGTCATATTAGTCCTCTGTCACCATAATATGGACTATTTCCAGTACTTTATTATAACGTTATCCGTTGTTAATTACATGTTGTCCCTGCTGAAAAAAAACTCGTTAAAAGAGAAAGCCGAGACAGCGGATGTTACCATTTCTTCCAGAGGAAGTTAACGATCCTTTCTTCGTTACAAAGGAAATCCTTTTCTCGATTCTTTCTGGGCAGGCAAAATTGCCTTAGAAGAGCGGTTAAATATGCTTTATCTTCAGACTATGAATCATTCTCTTTTTCCAGAAATACTGAAATCTGGTAATCCTTAGGGTCAAACTATTTAGAAGAATTTAACCTATGATATTGGTACGTACAATTTACATTAGTATCATTTTATATAAACATAATGTATAAAAATTTTTCGGCTTGAATTGAAATGTCTGAGTTATTGAATACGTAATTGACATAACATGATGTGGTATGCGAGAAAGGTTGATGCGATTGGTATAAATATGTAGCAAAGTAAAATTAAAAAGTTGTGTTTTTAGACGTCGTACTAAATGTCATGTTTTCGGTTGTGTGCTGGAACTGTTAGGTTATCAAAGATGTTTAAACTTGTTTAATTGAAGTATATAAATAGAGTGGGGTCATTTAAAACTCTATATGATGAAAAAAAAAACAGATTGTGTACGTATATACATTAATATATCACAAACATGTAGTAATACGAAAAGAGTTGTGAAAATACTTTTCTGGCAAGATTATATTGTTAGATTAAAACCTAGGTGTGCGATATTACTCTCGTGTCTAACTGTTTTTATAATAATGATTCAACTTAAGTTCTTTTTTACCCTGTATAACCAATGATCAAGATTATTACTAGTTAAAACGAAAGAGACAAACATTTGGTAAGATCTCGAGTCATGGTGTAACTATTTCTTTGTCTAGTACATTGGTTAATACGTGATGACAAGTAAATACATATACCGTCTATTAGATGGTTCATTAATTTGTAAGTATTTCTCACATGCCTGGCACTATTACAAAATAACTGTTATTCACGTATTCTATTAAGTTCGCATGTGTCAACAAAGTTAAAAATATTGAATTTTAGGCATACTTTCTAAGACCTTATCAATGTTGTTAATAGAACATTTTTGGATTATAAGGACCTAATGACTATACTTTGCTCGGCTAATTACTCCAATTAGATCCTGAAAGAAATCTTTAACACTAGCACCATCCTTTGTGATTCTTTTGAATTCCTGCCAAATGTATTTTTTGACGTTACTCCCTCAGAGCTTTGTATTGATGGCCGTTGTCTATGATTTGGCTTAAACTCTGTTATTCTGAAACATTGAGATGGCTTGCGTGGTAAAAAAAAAAACTAAATGTCTTCTTACGTGAATCTATTGACATCCAAATTAAAAATATAACTCTTAATTATTTACAAAATATCAAAAATTTATCTTTTCAAAACTAAAATTCATAAAAAATGTTATGAAATCAAATATTTTATACAGTATATTTTGTCAATCTAAGTAGATATTTAAGAAAAACCTTTATACAGGAATTTTTACATAGGTCTTATGTAATTTACCCATAATTTACTCAAAATTAATCAACAACCAATATCACAAGGATACACTATAAAATATTTTTTATAAAGTATAATATTACATAATATTATTTACCCTTATATTACATAATTCAACATGATAAACCATGTACACTTTTATATATAAATATAATTTAACTTAACAAACCATCTTGCTTATCTTATTGGACAGAGCAAACAAAACAAAACTGTTACGATATTTTCAATACAATATATAACAATTTTTAACCATGATAGGTGGAAATTTCGTATATGTGAGAATTCTCAAATTGTATAAATCAATGGCAACCCATATGTAAAAAAATCATCAAACAAATGTTTTTCAGTAGTAATAGATAAAGTTTGTGGTAACCAACATAGTAATTCAATAAAATTTCGTTAAAAAAATAATCAATTGTAATTATATTACAAATTACGTTATGATATAAAAATGCCACTTATTATACAAAATGGATTATTAAATAAGGTTGTTTAATCGTTCGAAGAGTGAAAGGCAACAAATTTGAACACTCATGCTTCACATTTTAAAAGGTGTAAAACTTTCAAGAAAATGCGAGAATCAAATTTACTCTCGAACGTATTTTAGATTGTTAAGAGAGAAACATTTGAATTTAAACCGGAGACAAATCTTAGGACAGACGGATCGGATAAAGGATGAGGAGAGGAGGTTTCACGAAGTATAAGAAACTGGTTGACACGTAAAATAAAAACGGGTTCTTAAATGAACTACACTTACTTATGTCTTCCATTGAGGGGTTAAGCTTTCTACTGATAGTCAATATAAACTTTAAACTATATACTTGTTATATTTCATCAGTGTAAAAAAGTGTAATAACATCGTAAAGCACAATATTAATCGTAGATTGAATTTAAAATATTTGAAACTGCCACTTTCATCAACACACTGTCATATTTATTTTTAAAGAAGCACCTAGTAAATATAATAATTGTTGAATTCCTAACATGATATGTTCCTAAATAATAGGTCCATTATTCCTCCTATGACCTTATGAACTCAAACTAAAACACACTTTGTATTTCAGCAATCCTGAACTCACTGTGCAAGGAGTTCTTGAACGTGAACGTATCAGCGATTCTGTACCTAATGAACTATGAGAAGTATGGCCGCAGCACTGCATCGGCCCAGTACTTTCTGCAGCTGGCCGGCTACCTGGGCATTCCCGTCATCGCCTGGAACGCTGACAACTCAGGATTAGAAAGAGTAAGTATCGTATTTAATAAGATTAAATTATTGTACTATGTTGATTCATTATCCTTGTAATACAGTAATATCATAGCAATATTTTACTTGGAATTATTTGCATTTCATTTTGTTAAACCTTTAATGTCTTGATAAAAAGGAAACTTGACTTAAATAAACATGTATATACATGTTACAATCATGTTACAATAATACAATCAAGTCTTAGTCATAATTATCTCAATTTACTGTCGATAAATTATTCTGAAAACAGTTGCTTTAGACAGGTTTTATTTAAGCCTATTAACAATTGCTCTAACTATTGCGAGTCCCATGCCTCACTTTAAATTAAAGTTTCCTAAAGGTTTCACTCGCTTAGTTTAGTCAAGAGGTGTTAGGTTAATGAGACATAAGACTGCTTAACGGTGTTACTCAACGTGTAAAAAACAAAATTAAATTTAGAGAAACAACAAATGTTACAAAGTGTTACAGCAGCAAAAGAAAACTTTGAAAAGGTAACAATATTAACAACAACTATATACAACAACAACAATATATCAACAATATTAAGATAAATTAATTTACAACGTTAAATTTACAAGAAAAGAAAATCGATAGGAAATTTTAAAGAATGAGTTACTGACAAATTATATGACTTGTTTGTTTTACAAAACTTTAGTTATATATTTGATTCTTTTTACATACTGATTATTGTCCCTGAAGCATACACGCACTCCGAAACTCTTGATCTTCTTGGTCCGGTGGCCCGTGGTGATCTCCTCGATTGTCCACTCCAGGTCCTCTCATTGGCTGATTACCGATAGGGCGTGTGGCTTATATGTTAGCGATGTTTCTAGGAAGTCAGCTCTACCGGTCATCGTATAGTTTGTGTATTCATTGTCATCGCCTAGCTCACGCCAGCTGGGAAAGGAATTTGAAAATCGATGGTCATGCTACTGTTCAACTCTGTTCACACCAACTGGTCGACTAAGTGTAATGTGAACAGTGTCTGCATAGATGAGCACCGTGGGTACGGGGTTAATCCCCTTTCTTACACTATATGTACCTGGATTGACATACGCCTTGGTCTAGTATACCGTTAAAACTAGTTTCCTCTGGAAAGCAAAGAAAAAAAAACTTATCCGTAGACTAGAAATGCAATGATGTGTTCCCAATCCATAGATATAGCTAGTTTTCTCTCCACTGCAATACAGTATACTCGAGATATAATAGCGTGTGCTATTGTTATAGAGTAAATAGTTATTATTGTAGTCAACCTCTGAGATAACAGGGTATTTCAATTTTGCAGAGAGCCTCCCAGTCCAGTCTACAGCTTCAGTTAGCCCCCTCTCTAGAGCACCAAACGGCTGCCATGCTCAGTATTCTAGAGAGATACAAATGGCATCGGTTTTCTATAGTCACTTCACAAATTGCTGGCCACGACGACTTCATTCAGGCCATTCGTGAACGTATCACAGAAATGCAAGACAGGTTTAAGTGAGTACGAACTTCTAAGTTTTATATTTAAGTGTTACCTAAACGCCGTCTTAATATTTTCATTTGTATCTCATCTGAGCTATTGGACTAAAAATATAAATCATTCAACATTACTTGCATATTAAAACTAATGATTTACCATTCTGCATCTGCACAAAATTATTATTTAATCAGGTAATCAGATACATTTAATCGAACAAACTACAAAACAATATGCTTAAAAAGTCAAGTATATTATTAAATAAACTGAATATGCTTTATTTAAAATAGGCCTAATACGTTTTACTCAAAGGGTTGGCACTCTCGTGGAAGGGCAAAACCAATATTTATAGAAGCTCTCACCCTCTGATCTTTGAATAAGTGTCTTTACTGCTCAACGTTAAATGTTTATATTTTTTTGCGTAGGGCTATAATTAATTTCAGCAATCCTAAGTAACCGTTAAAAAGTGGAAAAACATTTGGAATCAGAGGCAAATATAGATCACATTACAATTGTAATAGACATTGTAATGTATCTCACACAAAGGTCGGAACTGTAATAAACCAGTTGGAACGAGAAGAGTAATTCCAGCATATATTGCACCACATCCCAGGTGTTACACTGATGGAATTAATGTTCTCGGTTAATGTGTTTGAGTGGGGCAATAAAGTGTGACGTATATCCTATAACCGTAGAACGAAATGTAGTACATTGTAATTGCAACTCTCGACTACAATTTGATTTTTAATATAGATTTATTTTGTTCCGAAACATATTACAACAACTATATTCGTAATAAGAAATTAATAAGTGACTTTCTAACAAAGTCCGTTCCTTATTTAATCTTGCCGTGGTTCCAGGATATTTTCCTACATGGGTCCATATGAAAATTATGCTTCTACAGACAAATAAATCATGACTGTTAGTAATAGTTTCTGTAAACAGAAATTATCATATCTGAAAGTATAAGTAGCTTCATTTCGAGAATTCTTGAACAAGTTACGGTAACAACACAACAACAGACAAAGAAAAGGGGCACAGGGCGCTTTCAGCCAAAGGAACTCCCAATCTGTCTGTGTGTGTTGATAGAACCAACAATAATTGTACGTCGTTTAACTGTTCTATAAAAGTAAATATAAAATATACAATTTAAACAATTTATTGCACTTGTACAAAATTGTACAATAACAATATTTTCTTCTTGGATGTTAATAGGTTATCTAATTAATAATATACTATGATTACTAATTGTATTCATATTTTTTTTTTTTTTTACATGTATTCACATAGCGAATCGTTATCTCAACATCTTTTTTAAATGCCGGATAAGTATTTTCCGTATATTTTTAATAAGTTGCTATTTCTAATTTACAAATACAAACTTTATATCTTAATAGTGAGGGTATACTACAACTCCAAATGACTGACTGGTTTAAGGTTCACCATCCTCAACACAGTGCTGGTGACGAGGCCGGCAGATCTGCTGGAGCTTGTCAATTCTGAGTCTCGAGTGATGCTGTTGTACTCAACCAGAGAGGAGGCGACTCACATCCTATCAGCTGCTAGAGACTACAAGATCACTGGAGAGAACTACGTCTGGGTCGTCACTCAGAGTGTCATAGAGAACCTTCAGACCCCCTATCAGTTCCCGGTCGGCATGCTGGGTGAGTTTTCAGACTGATATCATAGAATAAATATAAACTGTGATGGAACTGTGTTGGATTCTTCATTTGGTATTCAAGAGGCCACGTTGATAAATTACTTGAACTGTGAATAATCAGATATAAGACTGTTTTGACGATGAATTGCAGCAACACATTCGACACGAGCTCAAGTTTTGCTTAAAGTTTACATGGCATCCACAATAGTCAATACCTTGCTGAGCAGTTGCAAAAGTCTGATATTGCAGCTTGTACATTTAAAGGAAAGTGTAAATTATACATGCGATTAAGATATGTATAATATCTTTATTATTTAGCCAGAATTAATAAATATCCTTGCATTAATGATCACAGGGTACAGTTCCAAAAAATAAAGACCTAAAATTTTTTTACAATGTTTTTTACCATTTGTTACAACAGTATCTATATAGCCCATTAGCTCCACAGTAACTATAAGGGTTCGTCTCTTCTTACCTTGCTCATGTCCAGCTTAATAAAGTGTTTAAGAAAAAAGGAAACAGTTAAATGTGTTTTATTCCATGTATATATTTCTGTTCAATTTACATGTACTATGGGCTACTTTAAATGTGAAGGTACTTTACCAACGTTGGTAAGCTAATGTGTATTTAAGATATACAATTTACTTGACTAACATTTAAGCCATACTATATTAGTACGTTTAAACAGTTATATAGCAATAAAAACATCATCATTCAGTTTAAATCACTGCAATTTAATTGTATACGAAGATAGATTATATAAGGGTAAATAGTACGTGTCTGAACCGAATTAAAAAAAAAACAATGCTATCACCCTATTTACACTTAAAGCTGACAGTACAAAAATATGTATCTACAAAAAGAATTAATAGTATCCATGAACGGTAAAATAATTGAGATATGTATCAATTGAGAAAATAAAACAAAACAACAGTATTGTTGCATGATCTAAACTAGGGTAATTTTACCAATATGGTCGTAAATGAGCAAATTAATTTTTATATTGTTAAACAAAATATTTAATCATGATTCACTTAAATTGTCAGTTTGTGTATAACATGTAGCCTATTCAAAAGAAATGGTCTTACAGTTTTAATCTTGACGAACGCTTCGTTAAACGCAATTTCTAATATGACAAAGTATACGATAACTTTCAATCCAAACTTACAAACAGTCTTTAAGCATAGTGTTTGAATGTAATTAATCTAGAACTGTAAATTTAACAAATAGTCTACAAATTAACATAAATTATGTAGCCAAACAATACTTTATCTTTGACTTTCTAGAAACACCATTTGAATTCAGCTGATTCGAATACTTTTAGTTTTAAGAAATAGAATTACGGAAACAATTTAACATGCTTAGTTGTGTATTAATTCCTTGATAAGATAATATATACTACAAAATCTAAAAGTTAAAAGGTTTTTTTAGTTATAACTAACTTGTACTAATATGTAGCTATATAAATATGAATAAACTAATTAGTAAAAGAGACAAGAATTTTCAGCTTAAAAAATTATTATAAAAAAATTAAAATTATCTTTAATAAACATTTTTATAAACTAACCAAGCTAGACACATTTGTAACAGGTGTTGAAAAATACCAAAGTTAGCATTTCATTGTTAGTTGGATGCAAGTGGCGTGTTGAAATAATTCGTCCCGCTTGTAAATTACGTTACTATTCACCTCTCCAGGTATATTACGAAACATTTTCATAGTAATTTCCAATTCAACAATTTAAGAGTAGCTGAAAGTCAAACATATATTTGTAAAAATATATAAATGTCAAAATGTAAGTGTATTTCAAGTTTAAATCATATTATTTAACAAAATACCATATTTTAATTCAAATGTGTTTAGCTAGAGTAATAAAAACAATACAAAAACAGTAGCAAAATAATGCTTACAAATGCATTTAAATGTTACTTACATTGCATATATATTTTTAACTAATTTATGTCACTAACGTCTCACTAAGGGACGTACTTCGTATCAAATGTGTGTTATTATCAAGTTAAATTGGACTCATTCTAGGCATAATGGGTTTATAGACTAAAAAACATACAACATTTATTACCAGCTTATTAATATAGAATCCTAGATTATTGCATTTCAATAACTCCACAGACAAAAGTGAAACAACAAATAACAAAACAAATGTTTATTTCGAAATATTTGCAATATATTGAAGGAAAAAACAATTAAATAAATATCTACTACTGTATTGTAAAAAAACCGTATTTGAACAAAACTTAAATATTTTCTGCAAACATTTATTGATTATCAATCATATCGTGCTTGATGCGATTCAGGGTTTAACTGGACATTTTTAAGTACAAGTATTTATTTAAAAAATCAAACTTTTAAACAAGCAGAGGGTTTTTTCTGTGAAAATAATAATCTTTTACTTAAGGTTTCAGACAAAAAAACTCCAAATATAACCCTAAACAAAATAAATGCTTTCAAAAATTTATAAAATCTATATCTGACCTAAAAGCATTGATACTGTTGTTAACAAGACCTGAGTTTGGACTGTTCTGTTCAAAAAATTTAAACAAATAGTGTTTACAAACAGAAACAATATTCAACTTATTACATATTACATAAAGACATGTCATTCCGTTTTATGTTACACACTCCAAATAGAAAGCCACTTGGTCAACTACCTTACCATGTCACATACTAGTCGTATCATAGTTATGTTTTATGTTGGCAGCACACTCATGTCCACCAACCACTTAGTCCTGGTAGCCTCTTGTTTATAACGGTCATTACAATGGCTATTACATCCACACCGGCGCTGCTAGAAGCTCTTAACCTTATTATTGGCCTTTCCGCAGAATGTAATAATTTACTTCCGAGTAAGTTAACAGAGAAAATAATGAAGAGAAACTCTTGCTACGCTTTTGTGGAAATGGTCAGACAAGGTTTTGTTTTAAAATATTCAAATATTTTGTCGATATATATACGTATTTGTACTTAACTGTCATGTTTTGGTTGCATTGATGGTATTTTTTTAGGTTTATTGAGTCTAACATTAAATAATTGTTCAGGCTGCAGAGTATTACATCATCAATTACTACCAATAAATCATCATTTCAAGATACATAGGTACACAAGAAACGTACACTTTGATTCTTAAGTTGGGGTTTAGTTTGCCTTTAATCACGGGCTAATTTCTGAGAACACTATATTACCATTACGATTTGCTTTAAAGAGTCTACAGTTCGTATTAGGGTTCGTGAAAACAAAAACTAGTTATTCAAAGCTGCAACCATTTTTTTTTTTATTTTACTTGCTTAACTGCAGTTAAACAAGTTTTTTTGCATTAATGGTTTTTTTATAACAAATTCATTAAAATTTTGTTATGGAAAAAATTGTGTCATGACGAAAAGGAAAGTAAAAATTTTTAATACCAAATGAAAAAATCAAAAACCATTTTTGATCCCAACTTTTGTATGGACACTGAAAATACACAGCAAACAAAAGTTATATGGTGATATATTTTTAAGGTATTACACATGTTTACCAATATAATAAATATACTTTTACTGAACGTTTCAACACCCGTTCAGCTTATCATGCCGTATCAGCACTGTGTAATTTTAGGCTGTTTTGCTATTATACTGAGTTATGCAGTAAACTATAGTGTTTGTTAACTATTATCAAACAAAACTAAAACCACAATTATAATGCCTGTATTTACAATAGAATCTTTACAAGACTAATTTTAATGTGAAAAGTATTGAAAACTTGTTTTTCAAATTTTAAGCTGTTGCACAGCTTGGTAATGAAGTAGTTTTCGATTATTACGTTACACATGCACTATTATTTATAAATACATCCTCTAAAAAAGTTAAGACATTCAAAGAATATTTCTTGTAATTATCCATGCCAAACATTCATATATTCATTCTCCTCTCTAATCTACAATCAAAAATAACTGATAATATGATTTTTTACACAAGATAAGGACTCTCAGGGGAATTAAATAAATATCCACATACGTCCAATAACATGTTGTACCACCCCCTTCTTCCCGTCTTATATACCCTATATGGAAGGTGGCGAGAAGCAGATACTCCCTAAGCTCACATTTTCCACTTACCCTGTTGTTCGTTGTTCTCCAGGGAAACTTGCTCTTTTGTAGACATTGTATTTGTCTTTACTGTACTTAGTTTATAGATAACAGCGTTTCATAAGAACTTTCTTTTCATTCGGATTAAAATTAGATTTTGGTCCTTCATATGTTTGTTTTTTAAACGTGTACATTTTTTAATTGTGTGGTTATTTGCATTAAAACTTTCTATATCTTTACTAATAAAAGAGGATATTACTATTTATTCGTTTGTAACTGTATTTTTTATACGTAATTTATAATTAATAATGACATATAAAGATTTAATCCTCAACAAGCTTTCTAAGTTTAAAATTAAATAAAAAAAGCAGTGTTAGTGTTTAATAGAAGAATGATACGTCTATTTTTTGATACTTGAACAAAGTAGATTCCATCTTAAGGTAGAATTTTCATATCATCTTTAGCCATGTTACGAAAACCCGGATTTTCTTTAACGAGGACCACTTATCAAAAGCCCCAAAGACAAACCTTCAATCCAGTATTGAATTATAGAAAACCTAGTGAAATCTCTTTTAAATTTTAACCTAAGAACTTCTAGCTACTAGTTGGGCACACAGTAAACCAAGTTATACTGTTTTTGTTCTAACTCTCAATAGAAACATCCAAAACATCTATAACAGCAAAAGAACCAAACATAAATTAATGTTTCTACCACTGAATGGAAATGATCACACACCTGTAAACAATATGCAAAATAGCAGGAATGAATGTTCTCTCGTTAAACCAGCTGATTTCACAGTTTGTTGGCGTTTCTACGTCATTCACAGCTGCAGAGCCGATACGTTACAACCGGTTTAGCAAATAACATAACCTAAAAAAGAAAACAAAAGCAGAAAAATCCTGTATGTACTACGAGCACAGTCATTGCTGCTCTCGAAATGTGTGGCCACAAGTTTAAAGTGGCAATGACGTACTTTGCGCTCTTAATACACAAATAATACTCTTTACGTTGTTTCAGGTGTTCACTTTGACACCTCCAGTGACAGACTGGTCAACGAGATCACGACAGCCATCAAAGTGTACGCCTACGGAGTCGAGGATTATGTCAACGACCCTCGCAACGAGAACCACTCCCTCAACACTCAGTTGTCATGTGAGGGGGCGGGGGACGCGAGATGGAAGACGGGCGACAGGTTCTACAGGTGATTGTTGTACAAACACTCTGTACAGTAATATACATGTGGTTAATCCAAATCAAAATAATAAACCACACGTTTGTAAATTCTTTATGTGTGGGAATTTTAACACAAATGAAAAAAATATGTTGGCTATGTTGAGTTCGTATGATGTTATGTCATGAATTTTTTCATCAACATAGTACAATAACGGTAAAAATGGCTCGTTTGTAAACAAATTAGGTCTAAAATCAAAGACTTCTAGAAATCTAAACATTTGAAAATGTTTTTTTCATGTGAATATTTTGCTTACTACTTACATAGTAAAATATAATAATACCGATAATATGGATATACTATAGACAATGGAAATAAGACGAAAGAATGGGACAAATGTAACTTATTATAAGAGAACGCAGAGAACGCATAGCTTTATAATGGAAAATATGTATATACTTTATATTTACTTTAACATGTGTAGAGAATTTATTTAATAAATTCAAGACTTATAATTAAAATATACATTCTTTCATGCGGTTGGTTTTCGTAAGATTATTCACAAATATTCTCAGAATAGATCACTATTATATCTATTTTTTAGTACAGTTAGTATACATTACTGTTTGTGTTTGGAAGTAGCTTGAAGGAATATACGACTATGTTTGCATACAATTGATCTTTTAATTAAATTTATATTGAAAGGTATCTAAGAAATGTGACCGTGGAAGGTGACCAAGGTAAAGGAGAGCCCAAGGTAGAATTCACAGCAGATGGGGTTCTCAAGTCGGCTGAGCTCAAGATAATGAATCTGCGGCCTGGAGTCAGTAAACAGCTTGTTTGGGAAGAGGTGGGTACAATTTTTATATTAAACTTCATCTTGACAACTCATATTTTGTTGTTGAAAATGAGTTAAAGACGTAGGCTGTTAAGTTATTTAAAAAAGGTAATAGCTCTATCTTGCTACTGGATATTAGATAAGTGTACATTAACGGTATTTGACTTAGAAACGGTCAAAGTGCCCTATAAGAAGTTACAAGTTAAAACATGCGCCAGTAGTTTCGATACGTCCTTTTTCCATTTTAGGTAATGTTTCAATTATTATAGTATTTTGATCCCTTATACATATTTCATAACAACTAACACCTATGGTAAGGTCTTTTTAAATCTTATGGGTCTAATGAGGTTAACTTATAACTTCAAAATAAATGAAAAGAACCATGCATAATCTCACTATCTATTTAATGTGATGTATAGCAAATTGCGTCATAGGAAGTTAGAGTAAAATCGCCTAAAATACATTTATCAAAGAAATTCGCTACAACATACTCATGCCGTGGTTAATTAGTTTCACAGATTAGCTGTCTTGATAGGAACAATAATTCTTGCACGTAAACTTGATGTATTTACAATTCCAATTTAACATAAATATCTATTATATTCTACTTACGGTTTCAAGTTGAGTTGATTGCTATTGAAAATTCTCATATATATAAAATTCTAAAATAGTCATAAGATGTCACTGTATTTCTTCGGATAAAGCAGCATGTATACATTTCCAAATCTATATAAATTTTAACATTGCTGTAAAACCTCTTAAATGTCAATTTATTTGCAAAATATTCGTTTTGAAAGATAGCATTTGAAAGGCTTACAACTGTGTATATAAAATAAAGAATAAATAAATAAATGCAAATAATTTCAAAACATAATTATATGTTTCACGTTTTTAAGGGAATTTATCGTTTAAAAATGGGCCTAATGTTATTGTAAATATTTAAATAACCTATAGTTTTTCATAAAAATATTCATCTTCTATAAGGTATCCCGACTAATTCGTTTAAGGCGAATACCTATCTGCCATAAGACATTAGTATGATACTTGCTATTGAATTATAAATAATACAAGGGATAAGATTACATCGTAAATTTTGTGTTGTTTCACTTCCCGATGTAATCGGCTTTAACCCACTTGTAAATCTAAAAAAAATGAATATAGCATAACATCCAGCCAATGCAGGATCCTATTGCAGAAGCGATATCCTTGCGAAGTTAACAAGACTTTATTGCATCAAGAGAATAACCAGTAATTGGACCATAAATTGGTGAGATCCACAGTTTCTCTGCCATAAATCTTAATCGCCGAGATATAACGAGGAGTTTTGCCGCTAACAAGCTTTAAAACTCCGGATCAGCATATCAAATTCCCTCATCTTACCACATCATCATTTTATTAGTCAATCTTAAAGTTTTAATGCCAGTAGGGGCTTTATTCAAGCAATAAGCTAGTAAGGTATATTAGAAAGGCATGTGAGGTGAAATCAAGAACGTGTAAAGCACCTTTGTCAATAATTGTAGATTATATTCTTCATCTGCGAATTGTACATACCTTACGGCAAGTGATGGCTTAATAATACTTGTTTCACAGTGCTGTTGTAGACTGTAGAACATTTTTAATATCTAGGAAAGTACAATTGATGATGTGCTAACCGGCAACATATGTCGATTTAAATATAGGTTAATCTTTAATAAAATATTACGCTTAATAATGTGCAATATAAATTATCGACTAATGTATAAAAGTTACAGCAAATTATTTCAAAGACTATGTTAAGAAATATCCTTACTTCATGGATCAAAATAGTTTCAGACTATTACAGTGAACACAGCTATGTTGCATGTTTGACATACTACAGAGACATACCTCTACTCTCTGAGTGGTTTCTCATGTAAGCCGCCTCACTACTGCGTCACATTGCTACCTCATTATCTCACATTACAGTTACATTTACCGTAATTTCTACCTAACACATCTTATAGTATGTCAGTTTAAAATCACTTTAAAACCAGCATATCGTACAACATTAAAATTATAACAAATTATTCGTAGGTACATAACAGTTGACTAACGAAAGTTATTTAAACCCAAATAGAACCTCATTTACCATCGATTCAAAAGGTTTCCTTGATATAAAATGCCTCTACCAAAGCGTCTTTTATAAAAGATTTTATAGTTATGTTAAGTGAGATAAGAAACTAGATGTGATCTGAAATTAAACACTATAATCCTCTTTTCGCGATGATAAAATCCAAATGTTTCCATCGAATGGAAACTGCCAACCACAGCAGCATTTAAACCGACAACTGATAATAATTGGACCGTTAAATTTAGATTGCGGTTTACAGAAAAATCAAATATCAACACCACCAAATATTGGCTAAACTGTGATAGGTTCCACAGTAAATTGGTTATAAAGTACTTCTATTCCAGAGTATTTACACATATTATAATTAGAAGTACATCTTACTAAAAACTGTTTTTAACTAGATTATTAGGTTATTAGTATGCTGATTGACTCTGATGTTTTATATTTATCTTAGCTTCTATCCCTCGGATTGAACAATATTTATTTATATCACCCAAATATTGTTTTACTCTATTCTATCCTCAGATTGGAGTTTGGAAGTCTTGGGTTCCCGAGGGACTGGACATCAAGGACATTGTTTGGCCAGGAAACTCCCACACTCCTCCTCAAGGAGTCCCGGAGAAGTTCCATCTGAAGATCACCTTCCTGGAGGAACCTCCCTATATCACTCTGGCACCTCCTGACCCGGTGACTGGGAAGTGTAGCATGAACAGAGGAGTCATTTGCAGGGTGGGAACTGACAACGATGCGGCCGAGTGAGTACACTGGTTTGCCAGTTGATAAGTGAAATTTAGGTTTAATTATAGCTTGGTAGACGTTATATTGAAGTCTTAGTTTGGGATATCTAAATAATACAGTTTTTTGTGAACGTTTATCAATATTATAAGGCTATGTATGCTAAGTAATATGTTTTTAGTATGCATAAATATCAGTTAGGAAAATATAATGACGAGTAGCTGTCAATGAAAGAGTGCTAGAACTGACCCTGCTTAGAGCTACAATGTACAGTAAGAAAATATTTAACTGTAAGCTATTCAAAGTGGTTATGTCCTTAGAAACTTAGTTTTTTTTATTATTATTTCAGTTTAAACTATTAGAGTGAAAAATATACCCACTTACTTATGATTCGATGTGGAAATTCTTACACAGTTTTTTTTTTTATGAAATTGTCGTATAAATAAAACACATAATAGCTAGAAAATAATATTTTTTAATTCAAACTATAATGCGGATCGATTAGTACTGGATAACCAAACTTGTGTACAAGTGCATCAGGATCATTTTCATTACATCAATCCCTAACAAACTAAAAAGTATCATTGTATAAGTAAGTCAACTACCACTCATAATTTCTAAATGCACTTACTATTACGATGTAATAGTATTGCTAAAAAGCGTAGTGGTATAATTAAATATAACATGTTAGAAACTGAGCTGAACTCTTGTACAAGTGCAAGAAAACCAATCTTTTACCTCAGACCAGGAATCATAAAACCGTATTCGATATTCACATAAAACCCAAACGACACTCTCTGGCTCCTAGTGCTAGAATAAAGAATATCAATCGTATTTTCTCTTTTTTCTTTTCCTAAGATAAAGTAAATAATGTTTCAAAAACGAATAACGTTGAGTTAATTTATTGTTTAGTTAGTAACAATATGGCCAACCTTTTAAATCGAAAGTAATAATTTTCTTTGTTATGATAAAAAAAGGATCGTATATAGTTTCAATAGCACCCCAAAAAAATTACATACCGAATGCTTTGTTTATTTTTACCCCTACACTAGCTATAGGTGATATTTCTGGTGTTACTTACCAAAACATACTAAAGATTTTCTAAAATTAACAATTGTAATAGCCGAAATAGTTCAACATCATTTACAAAAATAAAACAAAGGCATACTAATACTCTTAATTGTGTCAGGTCCAGGATTGACAATTGCAAAAGCCAAAATAACCTCATTTACTAAAAAAAACTAAGGTTAAACTATTACTCTTAATTGTGTCAGGCTTAAGGTATTAGTAAGGAAGGGATTAGCGGCGGTGATCCTACACGTGATCGTTGTCCTACGTTGTCCTACATGGACCTTAATAAGCTCAGCCTCCACTAGGCCTGATATTAATTATGGCTCTCAGTGTAACCATAATTCTCTATCTATCGTTCCAACCGAACAAAGGGGTTAATATCGAACGTACTGGAAAAATAATGTAAGGAAGAGTAAAGTCCTAAGTAAAACTAATAAAGTGAATAAAACTAACTATAAAATTGTATGGTAGTCTTTTACCAAAACCCAGAGCTCAGCACAAAAGTTGACTATGCAGAATTATAAAACCTTTTTTTGCTAAAAACGTATTATTATTTAAGCAATTACCCATTTATTTGTGAAAAATTTAATAAAATCTATGTCCAACCAAATACGTGCATGGAAGTCAGAAAATACAGGTAGGCATTTATTAATTCTGAATTTCCGGCAAATACTAAACGCATTTAGTAATCTTAGATTATGACATTATCAATTTATATTATCTTTTGGATCTAATTTAAATTAAAATGCTTATTAACTGTTATCTTACTAGCGAAAATCTCACTTTTTCAATAGATAACATTTTGTATTTTGACTTTACAGTATGGACATATCGGCAGCCCATCGCAATGGCACGTACTACCAGTGCTGCTCCGGTTTCTGTATTGACTTGCTGGAAAAGTTCGCTGAGGAGTTAGGCTTCACATACGAACTTGTCAGAGTCGAAGACGGAAAGTGGGGAACTCTTGAGGTAAAATATATTGCTTAAAATTTTATTTGTAAGTTGTATTTTTCAGCAAGTATTTACTATTAAATCTCATACATAAATCTCATATATTAAGTCTCATACATAGGTTTGAATTTGTGTATAAAAAGTTTCGCTAAACGTATTGTAAGTATGTTTGTAAAAAAATCCACTCTCCTTATTAATTTGTGTTTCTTTTAATTCCTCTTCCTTTGGCCCTTTCCCACTACCTGTGTTGTGATGAAATACGGTGTTATGCAATGTAAAACGTACTTAAACTATAATTTTGTTCGTCGTAAAAGCCCAAGTCAATATCACAGAGCTAACTCCGTTCGATAGAAATATCTAATGAAGTCTTAAAGCAGTTCGTCATCAGAAATGCATCTATCCATAACTGATTTTCCCTATTTATACCAACTAAGGAATCCACGTTAGAAACTGATTATTTCAGAACGGCAAGTGGAACGGTCTCGTCGCAGAGCTAGTCAACCGAAAGACTGACATGGTGATGACGTCCCTGATGATCAACTCAGAACGAGAAGCTGTTGTAGATTTCACAGTTCCCTTCATGGAGACGGGAATAGCTATTGTCGTAGCTAAGAGGATCGGCATCATATCTCCAACTGCATTTTTAGGTTAGTGTTCCTAGTTTCTTCAGTGGTTGTCTTGTTTTTCCTCTTCCTTATTATATTTTTTTGTCAAACTCCGTTACGTGCCCACAATATTACTTTTTACATTTAACTTATACTTATACATCTCATTTAAACCTTGAAAAACCTTGAACGTTATAAATAATGAAAAATACAATATTTAGAAAATGTTTTTGATCACACGCTCCGTAAATTTGGAGAAAACACACAAAAATAGTGTAATAACAACTGCAAATTTTAAGCTGTTCAAGAAGTTTGGTTGGTTAGGTTAGATTAGGTTATATGACTCATTCTAACCTAACCTAACCCCACCAAACGTATCGGACACCTTAAAACTCGTTTTTTAGTAACTGAACTAATCGTTAACTCATTGTTGCGACAAAAATCATTACCGTGGGCCGCTGCTGGAGACGCTGACGCTACAACGAACCGTTATCTCTCCTAGACATATAAGACCGACAACAATGCTGTCGTAAATACCTGGAAATTATTCTATTCTACTAAACAAAGTACCCTGTCGTTGACAAACTACGTATTGTATACATTAATGTCCCATATGAATAGGTTTTGGAGTTGGGGCCACGTAACGGATTTTGACCCTTATTGCATTACGCTAAAGGGACTACCTAATGCTAGTTGGAACTCAAAATTAAAAAATAAAAACTAGATAAGGCATATATGTTACAAGATTCAACATGTACTCTTTGTAAACATGACTTATTAATGTAAGCAAAAAAACTACATAAAATATTTTAAAATAAGTATACATTTTCTATTAGTTCACTGACGATATGATCCAATATACTATATTAATCGTATCGTTGTTAAGGACGTTGTAATTAATTTGTTTATTACGTATTAACGAATAACTATGAATTAATAGATACAAATTTATGAAAACGTGTTGTTTAATGTATTTTACTCACCAGGAACGCTAAACTCTTGAAATACTAGTATATGCCTAAACTAAGTAGTAGTTTAAGTAACGATCTCGTAACTATAATGTTAACAAAACGAGTAGAAAAATTAAGGTACAAGCCTTGATCGATACAAGTAGAAATAAAAAAAATTTAAGACTATTCATGCGAGTTGAGTACTCTATACCTTGGGGAGTATGTTTAATCTATGTCTATACTTACGAACTATGCCTACAACAGTTTTTAATCGCTAAAGATGACAGACAGGTTATGTTTTCTTGTATAACCTCTCATTGCCACTGGCAGTGATGCAAAGATTTATTGCACCAAACACCACTGATCCTGTTGCAACACTCACTAACAATTAAATCACAACTAATAAAAAGCTAAAACAAAAAAAATTAAAACTTAATTAACACCTGATAAAAAGTTCGAAGCATTACAATTTTACTTATTTTTTATCAATCCTTGAACCTCCATTACTCGGGTATTTAAGTAATGTAAGTATGTATGCTGTTAGGTTAGAAAGCAATGCTGTTAAGTGCATATTTTCAATTCTATGAACTAAATTAGAAGGCTAGTTAAAAAAAAAACGGTCTAAGGTATATTATTTATCAGCTACTATCAGTTTATTATTCTATCAAACCACATATCAGTAAACTGTAAATCAGAATACTCGATGTTGTGGATTCACGATGTGGTTGATGTGGGAAGATGGTTTTGTGGTAAGGTCAATTCTCTATCACTCGGTTCGTTCCAACCAGTGGTTTCTATTCACCTATATTAAAGCGTAATAGATTCAACGAAAATCTACCTCTGAAACAAAGCTTCCTTTTTTAAAATGTAAACTAAGCAAACTCTTTTATTACGTGATTTGACCTATGTTAGTGAGAGATTATTGTTTTAAGGTATTATTGTTTTAAAAGCAACACTTAATAAAATTAATATTTGTTGAGTCCTATATACAAGTAAATAACATTTACTCAACGAGATGAGTCAACTTGGTTAAACATGTATTATTTCGGTTTTATTCGTATCTAGTTCTGATTTCAATCAGCAAATCTTTTTTAAAGGACTGATTGTGTTTTGTATCAGAACAAATATTTGTATTCTAAATAATGCAATACCACACGAGTTTCTGTATTTTTACTTTTAATATGTTTTTTTTCTTTCATTCTGTTTTTATTAGAAGTCATTAAATTTTATTATTTTCTAATTGTTACAGTACGGTGGTGGTTGCAAGGTGACAAAATCATAACTATATGAGATTTCATTACAATGGCTGATTCCAATTACCATTATCTTTTTTCTGGAACATTCCTGATGTATTTAAAGTGTTTCAGAATAATCTTGAATTTCGTACTGAACACCTAACTGAAAATGCAGCTGTTGGTGATAAAATTGTTTCAAGTTAACTTGCTTTAAGTATAAAGTTATAGCTCCAAAAATAGAAAGCAAAATATATTTTTCCAGTCTCTTGCAGCAGCCTCGTGTTTTGGCAGACTAAAGTTATTGTGACAGATTAATAGCTGCCTGAAGCAGTTTCTGTAACAACGGCCCATTTAAACTTCTCTTATTGTCATCAACATAATAAACGGTACAGTGTATTTAATGTAATCGTATGCGTGTGTCCATGTGGTGAGTAAGTTATATAATGTACGGTTTTATTAGCAAACAAAACATGTAATAACCTAATTAATGAACTAATTATAAAACCTACTTTAAGTAAGGTTGTTTGTTTTTTTTTTCATAATGCAGGATGATTTTACAGTAAACAAAAAAAATGTAAGAGTATTAAAAAATTACATGAGTTAGCAATGTAACATAGCCTTTCAAAATAGTAAAATGTTAAAACCCCTAAGCTTTTGAAATGAGGTTTTGTACAGTCTCTGTGTATATTTTATTTTTATTAAAACCCTTTTTCCAGAACCTTTTGACACTGCCTCCTGGATGTTAGTGGGTCTTGTGGCCATCCAAGCCGCTGCCTACACGATCTTCTTTTTTGAGTGGCTAAGCCCTTCCGGTTTTGACATGAAAATGTCTGTAAGTGTAAGTTAATTTGGTTGATTTGTTGTTGTATTATGTGTACTGTTTTTACTTGGCTGTTTTGTTATATCGTTGATGTGTTGAGGAGAGTTGAATGGTATTGTAATGGGGAGTGTTTGATTATTGCATGATCATTGTATGTATTTGTAGTTTGTAGCACTTATAGCAGCTATTACGCATCTTATTGTGTAAGTTAATACGTCGTAAATTCCGAGATACTGTAAACGAAATAGTTAACTTAATATATTTGATGATGTCTCATTAGTGGAATAACCAATTATTGGTTATCTTTATAAATTACAAAATTAGAAGTTATTATCACATTGATTATAAAACTCGTCTATCTAATGTTTCTGGTATAGCTTATTAGTAATACAAGTTTATTTTTACAGAATGTTCACAACGGCAAGGCCCACCGTTTCTCCCTGTTCCGAACATATTGGTTAGTTTGTGCTCTCCTCTTCCAGGCTGCTGTCAGAATAGATAGTCCAAAGGGAATTACATCAAAGTAAGTATTACTTGATTTAAGGGGTAGTAGCAGACTTTTCACATCACGAATAGCACAAAAAAATACATTTTCATTTATCATGGAGTCTTGCTGTAGTAGCCACCATATCGTGCAGACGTTTCCATTGTGTTCACCTCCTCTCTATTTGTACGTGGTATTGTTATCTTTTAGGATTTTTCGTATCTTGTTTTGTCCACCGATGGTTTTATTTGTGTGTTTTCTTTTTTCATTTTTAAATTCGATTGAGTTAAGGTAATTGGTAAATTTAAGGTATGTTTCCCCCTTGAAAACTAGTCCAGACCCCAGGTCATGAAAAGCTTAAGAGCTTTGGTATATTATTTTTTGTTTGGTCGTGATAAACATTTCGCAAATATCTCTTAAATAACATTAACCCACATCTGCCAAAAATACACTTTAGCAAGGGGTTACAATTGGCTGATGAGTTTATCGTTAACTACAGGTCTAAAATTGTTTGAACAAATGTAAGATTCATTGAGTGTTTGTGTATTATGGAATATCTTTCTTTTTAACTTAAAATTTGGCACGTTTGATTATGGCGCAATATTTATAACACATCTAAAATACACATCTAAAATACTTACCTTGTGTTCAAGGTTCATGACCAACGTGTGGGCCATGTTTGCCGTGGTGTTCCTTGCTATATACACTGCCAACCTCGCTGCCGTTATGATTACGAGGGAAGAATTTCACGAGTTCAGCGGCCTGGATGACCCTAGAGTTAGTATTTCGTTGATATAATATTTCATGACCAGTCATTCTTACTTATAAGGTGGTATGGAATAATAAACCTAGGGAGTATAATCAGGTGAAGTCGATGACGTTAGCAGTACATTTTACTTACTTGTTAACCTCGTTTGAGAGCAATAGATTGTATATGTTGTATATGGTTGTATGTTTTGAATGAATTTTAGTTCATTGTCGCATGGATTTATAAATGGATTTATGGACTAATGGATTTAAATTTATGTACATTGAATTTAAGAAAAGGATAAATTTAAGAAATGGTATGAAATATCAATAGCTCAACATATCCATCGGTAGTATAATGGATACAAACATTACCCTAATAGACTAAATAACTCAATTCCTTACTAAACAGCTGTTTTACTGTGCAATATGACGAAAAAAATTGCCCAACACATGGGCAAAAATGTAAAAGAATGTTTATATATATATAAACTATCGCCCATTTTCTTTAACTGAATTCGCATTCTGTTAAATTTAAGCTTGTGTTTAAAATAGTCTCTTTATGCCTTAGAAATTAAAATCGTTATTACTGGTGGTTTATTAATCACAGTACGAATGCTTTACACTAATCTCAATAAACCTACGTCCCCTGATATGAATTTGTGTGAAAAATACCACAATATAAATTACTTATATACTTATACTTAGATATTTCAATGTACACGGTAGTAGGCTTACTTAGTTAGTGGCATGTGGGATATGCACAATAATCTTCGGCTGACAAGCCGGGACCCTGAGTTAACCCCTTGTGCAATACAAAATATATTTCCAAAATTTAAGCATCTGATCCTACAAAGCCTATCGATAGCATTTCCATGCTTTAGTTCCATTTGCTTATGTAGTTTTAAGCTAACTGTGATTTATCTTTTATCTTTAAACTACTATTTTTTATTTTATTAATTCTTTACAGCTATCCAAGCCGTACAGCCATAAGCCGGTGTTCAAGTTTGGTACCACGCCGTACAGCCACACAGACACGACCATCAAGAAGTATTTCTACGACATGCACTCGTATATGAAACAGTTCAACAAGACCAGTGTCATGGAGGGGGTTGTGGCAGTAGAGAGTGGGTGAGGACCAGCCATTAGTAGATATGTTTTTGCTATACTGTTATGGGGTAGGCTAAGGACTTTTTAAGGCAAGGTAGAGAGAAAAAATTTTAGGACTGTTCTCAGAGTACAATCATTGACTATTGGATACTAAACGTACAATTGAATCGTTTATTGCATAAACCCCATGACAAAAGTTTTTTCGCAGTTGTGTGATTCCTGCACCAAACGATGTATTTTAATTTGTACATCATTAATATATTAAGAAGTGATAATCGAAAGAAAACTTGGTTATGGGGTTGCAATAAACAATTCAAATGTATTTTGTCAGACAGATCCAAAATCATAGCCCCTAGACTCTCATTTCATGTTTTACCAACGGGAAGTTTTAATCCTTCTCCATAGCGAACTGTTGGTTGAGGTGAGAAAATTATTCTAAGAGATAATAGGCTATTTTGTGCACACGATAATACAAGCAAAATATAATAAGCAATAACAGAATAATTAACAACTGTATTTTTTCACATTGGTTAAATAACACTACAAGAATCAAGGTAACTTAAATAAATTGGAATTAAAGTGTTTTATTTAATTACATTGGGTACACGACGAGTTTAACAATTTTAGAGTAACAAGGTTGTTATTTTAAAACTTCCCTTAGCTGGAGGAGTAACAGTTTCTTTAGAGGTGGTTGATAATAAATTACTAATGCATTCAACATAATCAGACATCCTTAGTAAATCTTTACTGGCGGGTTGCCTTTGTACACTATTACACACGTTTAAAAGTGACTGTATAAAGACAATGGCCAATGTTATTTGTTTATACATACCTCTGCCTATTATAATTTAAATGGCTACAATGCCGACTACTACATTTCAACTCATTGTTTTTACCTAGGGAACTAGATGCTTTCATCTATGACGGAACTGTTCTTGACTACTTGGTAGCCCAAGACGAGGATTGCAGACTACTCACTGTAGGTTCTTGGTATGCCAAAACTGGTTATGGTCTAGCCTTCACAAGGAACTCTAAATACGTGCAAATGTTTAACAAGAGGTTACTGGACTTCAGAGAAAACGGTATGTACAGTTAAACATAAATCTGTATCGTTATCTACTCGTTGAAAGAGTGAAAGTCTTTACATTATGTAGTTGTAGTAGTCCTGATCTATTTAAAATGTTTTAGCGTAATACCTTAATAATATTTATATATCTCCATTTTGAATGAAATCGTATAACTAATACTAATGAAAACCCAGTTTCTTACCTACAAAGCCTTGTAGTATTGTATTTAGTTAGTTTGTCCCAATTAGCAATTGGTTCAATTCGTTCAATTCAATTTTTCGTTGGATGATTCAACCAACAGATTTTTTTTTGGCCAAAACGAAACATTTAATCGGGTGACAATAAAGAAACATCCACTTAATATTTTGTCCATATTAATTTGAACTATTACCACACAGTTTCTATCTTAAAGGATGCACTTAGAGATACGTTTTTCTTCTGAAATCTGATAAGAAACATCCCTTGATTAAGAAACAAGATTAATTCGGCTGTTGGGCGAATTACTCCAGGGGCATTTATCAACGTCCGGGAGTCCGGGAAGAACTCGTTCATTGTCTTGATATGTGCTTCATGAAGAATAGTGCTGCCATTGCACACTTGTAAACTATTAGTCACAACTTAACGGGTAATTTTTTACTAGATGAGGCACTTATATGGCATTTTAACCTAAATTTTAGTTTCAATTCATATTGCTTTCTCTTTGTTGTAGTTTTCTTTATTTTCTCAGCTACTTCTTTGACCAGGTTGTTAAGTAGTAATAAAATATGTGTATTGATCTGCTAGCCATAAACCCCATCAGGGTTGTGTTACTCTACTGTTAGTTATCTTAATAACTAATAGAACCCCTGGAACAACCCGGAAACATCAGTCCACATGACAGGGAGTTGTAAACCAGGTTAAAACTAAAATAGTATAATAGTGAGTATTAGTGAAACGCTCGCTCTAGAGTAGGTTTAAGCAAACCTCATGCTTTTAGTGCTGTTAATTTAAAGATCCTTATTATGATACTGCATTGCAGGTGATCTAGAGCGTCTGCGCCGATACTGGATGACAGGTAGTTGTAAGCCAGGCAAAGAGCAACACAAGAGTAGTGACCCCCTCGCACTGGAACAGTTCTTATCAGCCTTCCTACTGTTAATGTTGGGGATTCTATTGTCAGCTGGACTCCTGCTAGGAGAACACATATATTTCAAGTGTGTTCGAAAACATTTGGTCAAAACTGACAAAGCTCAGTGTTGCGCTCTCATCAGCTTGGTGAGTAATACACTTTTGTTGGTTTGTACTTCACTCAAGTTATGAAAACTATAGTAAACTATAAACTTAATGCTACCAAGACAAACGAGACATGGCTTTAATTTACTTAAACACATGTTGAATACATACAACTTTTGATATTATATACAGGTATAATGTCTAATATCACTAACATCTCCTAATATCCTACACTCACCTCCATTCATACTTGGCTTAAAATAGCTACTTTGTATGGTCGTCATTTAATAAGAAAGCATTAAAGAAATACGTTAGAAGGTAGAAAGAAATAATTAAAATTATAGTTTATTAATAAAACTGCAACTGTATTCCAGCTCAACTATTTTGGGAAAAAAATGATCAACGACACTTCTTGAACAAAAACCTCACGTGCTATATTCAGTTGCTACTGTATAACCATCAATTAAACTTTATACAACTAATATAGTATCAGTCAATTAAGGAAATTACAGTAGTTACAAAACCAAGATGTTCAGTTATTAGCATGATCAATCTTTTGTATTTATTACTTTGTTTATAAAAGACTTGAGTCAAATATTTAAATTTGTTTAACATAGCACACTGTGAACTATGCTGACTTATTTTATATTATATTATACTTTGAAAAGTGTTAACTATTTTTTATGCTACAGAGTATGGGGAAATCGCTGACTTTCCGAGGCACAGTGATTGAGGCTCAAGATATCATTCGAAATCATCGTTGTCATGACCCTATTTGTGACACACATCTTTGGAAGGTAATTTCATGTTATATTTTTTGCAGTGGATGACAAATTAACCTACCTAAAATATCAAAGTCCGTATTGTCTACTACAAATTTTGTTTATACTGTGGGTATTTTTCACGATGCATTTTTAGTCAGAGCTTGGTTAATGTAGGGAGTAATTGCATTGATGCCTCTTTGTGAAAAAAACATGTTGGTGGGTGGCTAGCCTATTGATAAGCTGAAGATTCGGGGGATTGGACTACTTTTCAATTAACCTATTTGTGATACATTCATACCAAAGACACTTCTATAATTGTATACAAAAATACTATTATAAGGTATCAGTATTTCTGTTATATTGTTTATCTAATTAGGATCACGGTGATATTTTTAGTTCATTTAATACGAGTTCATATTTTTCATCCAAACAAACATAGGATATATTTGTCTCAGCTATTTTATAGAATTTAGGCTAGAATGTAATCAACTATTGAATATAAACATATTTCAGGTCAGACATGAACTGGACATGGCAAGAATTCGAATAAAGCAATTAGAAAAAGAACTAGAAAGTCATGGCATCAAACCAAGTCGCAGGTAAATAAAAACTGTACATTAATTCCTTTTAAAAAGTAGTAATTCTTTGACGGTTATGAAACAGAACAATTAATGGCAAGAAAAGTAGATATGGAATTTAACAAATTAATATTTAACAGTTACCTTAACAATTAATTGTATTCGTCAAATATAAACCTGAATAAGTTAAACGAACTGTATAGTTACATTCTTTGAAAAATATATACATAAGATTTTTTCAATTAACGTATGTTAAAGCATCATGAAAATGCTTTTGGTTTTATACAATTGTTTTTGCCACTAATTGTTTAGCTTAAGGATTTATAGTTTTAAGCACATGCACACAAACGCACATAAAACGTGTGACACTTTGTTTCACTGAACCCTACACTTTTCTTGAACGATATTTAAAGTTTTCTTATTTCAAGTAGCTTTTTATTGTAGTTTGCACATCATTAAATAAGTAATATTGAAATAATAATAACTCTCGACAAACTATAATGTGACATAATCTTGAAATATAAAAAAATACCTAATAACATTATATACATAAGACAACATTAAGTATTTTATCGTCCTAATTAATATTATTTTAATATACGTAATCTTACAATCTTAATCTACGTAATCTAAAATCTACGTAATCTTAGAATCTTTCTTTTAAAAAACCTGAATGTAGCAATATATTTTGTATATGTTTGCTTCCCTTAATCAATAAATGGAATCTTTTAATTAAAAATTGACATCTTTAGACACATTGTTTAATTTTATTTAAATCTAAACTGGAGTATAATACGTTAAAAAGTTTTCTTAGTATATTTTTAAAGAATATAACACTGTTACATAATTTGGACATGACATATTCATGTTTTCTTTATCACACTAATTTTTGGTGTGATAAATTAATGTGGATACTTAGAAATAGTTAATTACAAAAAAATGTGTACCATAGGCAAATAATAAAGAATTTCTTACACAGAAGATGCTAATATCTACAAAAGAATTATATTAATGATACTACTTAGTTTATAATGGTTATATCATAGCCAAGATATTGCGCAGTAGCTACAACTTGTTTTTTAGATATATCTAATGATTTCGTCTTAAGGGTCATACTATTATTCAGAGATTTAAAATACATAAGTTTAATAAGTTATAAAATTGAAAGACGACTTTTGCAAAAATATGTCCCAATATATATATAAATTAAAATTGTTGGCAAAATGTTTTTAATACTTTTAATCAATTACTTTTCATTTTCCCCACTTAAACCTGAAATGTCTTGCCAAAACGCCAAAAGACCATGTAGCCTAGTTAACACAGCTGTATACAGTACTAAACTATAAAAGTATAACTAGTTTATTTCTTTATTTTGTACAGTTTCGACCATGGTCATTGTTCTGCCTTGACAATTTCTAGTTTGCAAAGGTTGGTTAAAGCAAAGCTAAGTAGATAAATTGGATTGTAGGCACTTTGTACGTTAGAATTTTCCACACCAATATATTTCACGCTATTGGTAGATTATCGAGTATTTTTCTGATATGCTTAGATCTTTTTGCTTCTATTCAATTTACTATTTAATATTCATATTTCTCGTGCATGAAGCATGGAAGCTGCACCGTAAAGAGGCATTGGTGAGGCTCGAGATTCCTTGTGTCAAAGAGTATTATTTGATGTTAATTTAACGTAGTGTTTACTGCTAAATAATTAAATACGAGGGTAACGTTTGGATTTGCAAACTAATTTCGCAAAAATTTGGTAATTTATAATTCCCTTAAAACTTCCAATCATCGCTTTGAATGAATCTTCTTAAAAACACTGTTTTAATTAACAGTGTTAAGCAAATCATAATTATAAACAGGAAGAATCGTAAAACAAAAATTATATTTCTTAGTTCCTTACGATTATATTATGACGATTGGCTCATAATTATGATAGTTAAAATGTTAAAACTATGTTTGTATTTTGTAAAGTAAAAAAAAGTTATAATGTAATGATATCTTGATATCATTTTTCTTCATTTATTGGGGCATAAATTGCCCCCCCCCCCTTAAATCACATTATCTTTTGCTATGTAGGTGGAAATAACTGAAGGTTGAAAATTCGTTTTGTTTGGTAATAGCTGGTAGTTAGATGGCCATAAAAATAATAACTTAATAATTGTGTGCAAGCACATAGGTGTGAGGTTTTTCTAATATGGAAGAATAAATCTTGAATAACCATTAAAATGTTAATTTTTCATATTGTGATACTGTTTTAGGTGTATTAGGACAAGCAGAACTAAACAATACTTAATAATAACTTGTTTACTTAGTTTATCAGGTTTTCCTTTATTTTTTAAAACATTATTGATTTATTTTACCACTCCTATTTCCTCACTACTTACCCAGTCCTAATGAAAATTGAGGTTTGTACTTAGCTGATATCCCAGTAATTCTTTATCATCACTTCCAGACTATAAATTTAATCCTGTGATTAATATAGTATATAGAGCATTCCAGAAGAAGTCTTTACCGAAATGAGTTGTAGAAATACACATTAAGTTTCTTGGACTCAAATGTCCAGTATAACTTATATCGCTTAATCATTATAATACTTCTTAATTATAGAAACTGTATTCAGACCTAAGTGTTTAACTAAATTTAAATATTTCATATTCTAGTGAAGAGACTTCCCAAATCTTATCTGGATTATCATTTCCTTGTTATTTCGAAACTTGTCAACTTATAGCTCAAAATGTTTTGTCAATTTCTCTAATCTTCTGTCCAAGTAAATTAAATACATGTTAAACGTGAACATTTGTGCTCAGTAAACAATAACTCCTTAGTTGTCTTCGTTATTAAGTAATTTCCACCACTAATTAAAAAAAAATTCAACCTTACTTAAGGCCTCTCATTTTAACTTGTGAGATAAAGATTGAGTTTCTCAATTCCTTCCTCTAAATAATGTACTGTACTCCTCTTGGACGTTTATATTATATTGTTTTCGATACCCGCCAAAATCTTGCCTAACCTCTCCGTTTCCTCACCACCAATGCTGGTTGAGTCTGCACGAGCATGTCTGTTGTAAGGGGGCGGGGCCCTCCAAGGGTTGAGGGGAGGTCATCCTCTTGCTGTTGGCTACCTTGGTGTTCTGGACAATCTCCCGATAAGACCTCACGGTAAGCTGCATGGCGCATGTCCCTCAGTAGTTGCAGTATGTACAGTTTTGTATGGAAAACAATATATTTAAGTAACAAACATGAAACCAGTAAAGTTTTTCAAAGCCAAATTCAAAAAATTCAAAAAGGCCAATGACACAGTAAAACGCAAATTAAATGAAATATTATTACGTACAGTAATCACATATAAGCGTATTTACCTTATTTTGTCCTTTTTACATCATTGGCAAGCTAATCCAATGAGAAAATAAACTGATAAAGTTACTTTTCGTTAAAGTTTAGCTTTAATGTGATTTAAAATGTTTTAACCACTGTTTTACAATCATTCAAAAAATCGATGGTTCGACAACTAATGCTCGTTTTACAATAAAAGCTGTCCAGCACAATAATGCGGAAGGGTGTGTTAAAAGGTCGTGGGAGTGTTTTTAATATAAAACCTTCAGTGATAGTTAACTGAATTATATTTCAACATCAACAAACCTGAACATTGAATAAATGTTAATCCTGAAAAATCCTTATAATCCAATGAATAATACTAATGCATACTATTGATGGTATAACAAAGCCTAAATTGAACTCCCATAATATCGTTGAACTTTTGTTCTAACATTGTTTTGGTATTTTCTAAAATATACATTTTTACTGCCCACAGGCGTAACAACGATTGATTTTGTTATATTTTGTTAGGGTGAATGATAATTAGTGAATATATTATTTATTTACTAAAGAGTGTTGTTAACAGGTTTGACCTCGAATTTACCTAGCTATTGAACAACCCACGATGAATGTAGTAAGAATACTTTCTAGTATTTCAATAAAATTACTTTTTCACTATCTATGACAACTACTTTTAATAATAACCTCTATAAACTAAAACCTAGAGACTACTAAATCAGGTTATAGTTGTTTAATTTTTGCCCAAACGGATTCAAGACAATTAAAAATAGTAAGTTTCATAAAACACGTTTTTATACAAATAGCATTGACCCAACGAGTACTTGAATATTGAACCACCAAAAGTACTTAAATGTCTTACTACCTAGTTTTAAATTACCAAAAAACTAACGAATCTGTTAACTATATATTCATTAGATAACTATCAGTTATAAGTGAATTCTAAAATTGTTAAAAAACAAAGTATTACTTGAATCACTTTGAGTATTACAACAATCGTAAAGATTATATGATGTAAATAATTTCCTTTTTATAGGTTTTCATGTTTTTTTCTAGATTTCTTTTTACTAAAGATGTGTTAAAATTATGTTGAAATCATGCTTTTAAACACTTACAGTAGTTGGGCATTGGAAAGAAAGCCTTAAAATATCAACTAACTAATAAAATAAAATAATTTGAAATAGCTAAAAATTAACTATGGTTGTAATGGTGTGTAGTACTGTATAGAAAATGGATGGTGAATGGTTGTCGATTTTGGTTGGCCGCCCCGATCACCGACAGACTAATAGCATAGTGACAGGAATACAAAGCATACTGGAGGCCAAACTTAGTATTCCTCCCATTGTCTTGACGGTAATCGGGAGGCCGGTCAGAACGATCCCCACGTTACGTTTCCATCCATAGGTATTGTCATATGATATTTCAAACATATTTATAAATATCAACAAGAAATTGGTCACACTGAAATTCATTCAGATGTTTAATCGTTATAATTTATTATTGTTTATGTTTAATTTGTTCTTTTTGGAGTAAGTGTTATTTAAGTCGTATATTAATACTACCTTTGACTATGAATACAACACTACTAAACACGTAAGGGAAATATATATATATATATATATATATATATATATATATATATATATATATATATATTAAGTCACTTTCTATTGGCCTTTTTACAATCTGTGACTATACGATTAAACGATATTATTTGTGAAAACTTAATTTAGTGAGAGACAATATGATTTAGTGTTTTGCCCTTCTCTAGTCCAGTGTCAATTTTCAGAGGAGTTAAGAGAGAGTTTGTTGTAATTGTTTATTACCCAAATCATTATATACGATGTGTAACCATTTCATTATACTCCAAATGTTTTATAGTTATGTATTTTCCTCTACCATATGATATTTCTAGGAATAAAGAATCGAGGAAGTAACAGAAAATGAAACCTGCAAACGATTCCGTAATACACTTTGTATAACAGTTTCTACAAGAAGAAATATAAATAGGTTTAGCACCCAGGTGTGATATTTGTTGTTTTAAGAAATAACAGTTGTAATTTAATCACAGGTTCATGACAACAACGGATCTATTGCGTACTAGAGACATGACTCATAATCACATAACCTCGACAGAGTACAGTGGTCGTTTCGCCAGCACTCCACAAATATACAGGTGAGGCCATTGTTTCATAAATTGACGTTGTCTAAGTTAGTACATTCGGTAACACCTAAGTAATTGTTTAAAATCCATAACGTCTTAAAATAAACAAAACGGTTTACTGTTTTAGTCGGCATAATTGTTGTAACATTTCTAGAACACGTTCAACGATTTTCTCCTTACCTCTCACACAAACTTATGTAGAATGACTTACAAGCACCTACAAATATACAATTAACCAACAAGTACCTACAAATGTACAATTTAAATATAGGTCAATAAGATCATAATGTTTTTAACAAGCTTCCGACACACTATTTTAATACTATGCAAACTATGTCATGGCATATGATTGGGTAACATAGGAATAGTAAGTCACTAAAGTGGCTACAACACCTTGAACTTGTTGGAACCATACGCAGTCGTTCAAATGTGTATTTAAGATGTAACCTAAAATTACTTTTTTTTTTTACTTTGCATCAATTAATCAATAGATATTTAATAAAGTAAGCAAAACTCATTAAAACAACTTTTTCTCTTGCACAGCTGTTTAAGAGAAATCATGCTGGATCGGTTTTTATTATTATCTTCTAAAAGATAATTGAGTTTTATTCAGCTGTAAGCGATAAGCTTTATGTAGATAACTGAATCATTCAATAATTTCCTTCTAATCTTTTTATTTCTTCTTTGTAAAAAGAGTAAGGTATTTAAAAATGTATTTCTTCATTCACACAAGTCTGTGTGTATAATAGATCGAGCAAATAAATTAGTAAAGTGATACAGTAAAATAATAAACTGTATCTATAAATGTTGGTGACGGAACGTAAGCCCACGACATCGGTGCTCTGGATTTATCACAGTGTACGTCAATCAATTTACTGAAACAGACTCAGCCGAACATTTCTACCGACAATTGGCAATTTTGAAAAATGATGTTTATTTGTTGATAGAGATTTCTGCTTAGCTGTGATATCAAACCAATATCAATATTATTTTCATAGTCCAATCTTAAAATCTTTTCACAGCATTGCTTAGCCTAAGATTATCTTTTCTCATTCCTCTGGCTATTTCTTACATAGTTTTCACAAACATATAGAGGTCGGGATTAAATTTTCTAACTATTGCTGGTAATTCAACAATGTTAACTTATAAATACATTACATAAAATTCTCATTTTAAAGCAGATATTATTTTCCCGTCACATTTTGCTCTCTTGGTTGATCTCTTAACAAAGGTCCTTAATTTGATGTATCACTCAGCCATATTCTCATTTTAGATTTCATTCTGATTCCTTGTTCCTGTCCCTAGCATAATGGAACCAATATATTGTTCTAAAATATACACTTATACGTATAGTACACTATACTGTATATTATATGTATAGTACTTAAGTGCAAAGCTTCGTTATTGTTCAGTGTCGGCAATGCTCCAACTAAAGAAATGACATTCCTGGGCCATTTAGAAGTGTGTTTATTTAGATTCTAACAATATATTTGTGTATATTGCAGGACCGAGATCGCAGAGATGGAGACGGTCCTGTGATGTCAGCTTGAACCAGGGCCCCAACCTGACGTCACAACGACTGCCATAGTCAACTCACATCATTTGTATCGATACTAGCGATAGTTCAGTAGTCTAATATCAGGATACGAATCCAGAATTCAATTACATTCAAAACAAGTTTATCGTTTAGTACGAAGTGTATTAAATGAATTGATAACAGTCAGTAGCTGGCCCTCAGGGACAAAGTCCCTACCCAGTTCCTCAAAGCATAGAATCAGTTTTCTAAGTACCAGAATCCTGGACGTACTGATGTGCCGGGGGCAGTAGATACAGAGCCCGGCCTTTGCAGCCTACAACTTATTTGAATTACCAAACGAAAATTTATGTTCGATATTATTTAAGGGCTTAGTTTTAAAAAGGGTTAATCATTTTTAGTTCAATATGGGCTCTACTCGAAGAAAAGTAAAATTTAATCTAAAATTATATCGAAATTAGCCCGTGCGGCGTTAAAAATTTTAATAATTTTTTTTATACAACATTGTAATTCTGACTATTAAATCGGAAATGACAAAATAGCTGCAATCAACACTGTTAGGTATCCCTATTATGGAATGTGATTCTGAATTCGTATACCGTTGTCTGAAAACATTTCGCTGTATACGGGTAAAGCCACAGCAACTATTCAAATAGGTGCTATTTCAGGATATGATTTTAAAAGAACATTTTTGATTAAACGCGAAATGTTTTCATTGGAAAATATTTTATATAGTGGTTACATTTTATAAGTGTCATTATCCTCGTTATTTATTGTCTATTTTGTCATTTATTATACTTTTCATTAAGTGTGATCTACAATTTGAAACTAAGTCCCTAAGCTTGGTAATATTTGAAGCGGTTATTGCTTTAGTAGAGCCATGGCTGTTTGTGCTCTACGTTGTTATTATATGGTGCTTTCGTGATTTGTAGTTTTAAAACTGTATTTATAGAATATGGGGTCAAGGTTCATCTTAGCCTTATCTAATACATGAAAAAGATAAGGTTTCATAAAAAAGGAATGTGATGATAAAGTTAATTTTTCCAGAGACTGTACAAAAGTTATTGAACATTTTTAACTATCATTATGTAGATTTTCACCATGAAACACAGTAAACTGATTAATTTTTTAATAAATTCAATTATTCCGTTGTTGAAGTTAATTAATATGATAGAACTTTATAAAGTCGTAATTTTCTTTTTTTTTAAATCGATAATTATCTACATTTATTTTATTACGAAAACATTTCACATTAAACTAAAAAGGTAATTCATTGAAACTCTCATATATGATTAGTAATTTTGTTTTGTAACAATATAAAAAAGTTTGCACACATACAAAGTTTAAGTTCTTTCTCAAGTGAGAAATATGAAATTGCATCTTGAGATGCTAGTATTTATTGCTTGGCCAAAATGGATCCAAGCTTTCACACTAGAGTAGTTATGATGTAAACCGTGTATGGTGGTGTTTATTTAGTTCCTGTAAAAACAACTAAGGTTTTGAGTGTTTTATGTAGTAGTAAACTTAAAAGTAATTAGGCCCTACCAAACCCAAATTTAAACAAAAATACTAACCAGTATTCGAATAGACCAAATCATACAATTTTATCCTATAGTATTAAATGTACCAGCCGCAATATTACACCCGAATAATAATTTCCGCAGAGTCTTTAAACATATAAAATGTTGATTTACCACTTTATGTAAGGAACGTTATAGTATATTTTTGTATAAAATGCCATCCCCTTCACATTAGATGTTGTAGTAGTGGTAGCACTGATCGCTGTTGCTGTTAGGGTGTGCCTTTGGTAACGTTGGTAGCCATTACCCGAACCCCGCTGAATAGTTTGCTTTAGTCCCTTAAACCAAAGCAATATTTGTTTCTAAATTTATAATTCCACTCGATGTTTTTTAATAGTTTTTATTATTAATGGTTGATATGTGTTTAAATAAGAGTGTTTAATTATGCTTTTAAATAATAACAGCAGAACAATTATTGTATTTTATCTATCGGGCTTTGTCGTGATTGTTTTCGGTAAGATACACTAGCACATCGTTTAAATGAAACTAAAAAGTTTACCAAAGAAATTTATTTTGTTAACAGGGACGATAACATGAGTAAGAAATCATGGTTCATGTCCGTTCAAATGTTCAAATCCGTATAAAGTATTGCATCAATTGAATTATCTTTACAAACCTCATCTAGATGTTAGGAGCCATAAACAGAATAGTTAGCTTGTTTTAAATGACAAGGTAGATTTATAAATCTGCATAAATTGTTGTGATTTTTGCTCAGTTAGTGTTAGATTTGTCTGTGACCGTGACAGCACGTAATAGTATATTACGTTACTAGTCCTGAAAATAAATGTTTACCGGACGAGTTACATACGATAGTTTACGCCGTACTACTTAATTCGTACAAATCCTTATATATTTCTACCAACTAAAGGACTCAGTCATAACCTCTAAGAGAGGTTATGTTTTTGTTTATAACCAATCATTGCCACGCAAATACAGTATAATCAGCTGATTGGTGTCCGGTAAAACTCGTTGCAGAACAGTATTACGCAATGAAACCCCATTTGAATAAGTTGGCGGCAAACAGCTGTTTTCTGGACTAAATCCTTGCGTGGAAAGCTCGTCAAAATAATGTAGTGTGGCGTAAAGTCTTTTGTGCACGCGTTAAATTGTTGTTCCTTGAAAAACTGATTTTCCAGACTTTTGATGTAATTTTGTAATTTTTTGACATTCAATTGTTTAAAAACTTTTTGCTGTTTGACTCGTAAAAGATTTGTTCTTGTTATTAAATGATTAGTTTCACATATGAACTTCTTTGGTGTGTCAAATTACAATGTAAGAGTTTAATAATTTATTTAATACCTACACAGAGTGAAGTAAAAAAACAACATTGTATCAAAAACATGAAACACATGAACAATATGAACACATAGGCATGTGATGTATAGAAAAATTAAAGTAAGATAAATAAACTGTAGGGAAGACCAGATCTTAGATTTTTAAGCAGAAGTGTCTATTATAATTGAGATAAATTTAACAAGGAAAAGGAAAATGTTTCTATACACATATTAACAAAGTTTAACGTAAACCTTTTCCATTAATCTTCTCGATAAACTTTGATGGTTATAACTATTATTCCTTCTAAAATTACTATTTTCTTTTCCGTCGATAGAGATTTTAATGCACAGCCAATATCTAAATGAAGGTTCCGCCCTAACCTGTGTTTTAAAAACAAACAGAATATGTTCACAAGTGTCTTTATTATCGGACTGTTTATTTTTCCTTACTTTTTTATTCATTTTTTTATTAAACTAAACTTACTCTCCTAGAACTATAAAAAAAGATTTTGCCTGTTGTTTTATTACCTCACGTTGTGTGTACGTTTTAAATTACCAATACGTCGTATTTTACTTAATAGGTAAACTATTTAGAAAATATGTCATTAGCGAAAAGTTAGGAATCTAACCAATATACATTAGCTGCGTTACTTTTTGGCCGATACAGGTTAACCAAATTATCTAGCAATGTTTTGTATCAGTGATGTTTTACATTAAGAGTTTACGAAGGTTACATAGTTTCTGTTGTGATATTTTTGTCTACTGATATAAGAATTGTTATGTAGATTTCAGAAACTTAACCTACTTACTGTAAAAGAATAAACTTTAAAAATCGTTGTTGTTCATCGTTAAACTATGGAAATGTAAAATATGTATGGTTGGATGTATCTTTATGATATCCAACCCTTAAAATTAATACTTGGTTTTGATGGTGCAAAAGTGATACAGGGAATATTTTTAAAAACTATTATCACTTATAATATTTAGAGTTTTGTAATTCGAAATTTATCATCCCCTTCTAGAGTTTAGCAAACACGTAAAAGAATTAGGATTAATTTATATTTATCCCTGTTGTGATTAAATTATATCGAATAACGATTTTGTGCTACAAATCAGTTGGTTTCAGTATCCTTCAATATAAAATGCATGTTAAAGCTCCTAGTCTAAACCTTCAACTCACGTTATGGTTCTAAGGCTTGGTGGACTGTAAATACTTTAAGCAACATAAATAAAATATTGTGTACATAATATAAGCGTCAATGTTAAACATTACAATAAATATGTAATTCATGTTGACCATTTAAAATATAAAGCTATGTAATGAAAAACTGGTGTACAAAATAAAATAAACACAAGAAACTATATTTTATGAATGTTATTATTCCCAAAAATATTGATTGGTTAGAATATTTTACACTAAGCACTATATTGTTTAATGATATGCAATTGCGAAACCCCAAATTAAAATTAAATCGGCGAGACAGTATGATGAAAGAAAAGGAATTGAGACAAACTACTTTAAAAAAATAAAAGGCATATTGAAAGCAAATGATTCACCAATGTAAAAAAGGAAGAAAATGGGTTCAGAAGGGATGAGAAGTTAGTTGAAGGGATGTGAGTTGATTGTTTTACTAAAGTAGGCCAACTTGCGGCTTGACATTTCGCCCAACACTCATAATTAGCTAAGGGATACTCAGCTAATGGCTGTTGTTCACACTTGCTCGCTTACGAAAATTGATATATACCAAACACAGTCTCTTTTCCTTAAAGAAAGCCCAATGTTTTACATGTTTGCATTTAATTAATGCAGAAACTACAGTATGTTTGCAGTTTGAGTACGTCTACAAAGGCGTTATTAAGGCTACAATGTGGGTTCAATTGATGAAAAGGAATAATTACCAAATTTCAATCTCTATATGTTTATATATTTTTTAACTCTATGAGTTCGACTCGGTTCCTTGCTCGGTACTGAAATCATTAAAAGTGCTCATAAAAATTGAGTGCAAGAGTGTTTGTTTTTTTCACTGGGATGTACTTTCAATTACAAGCTTTGCACTGTCAATTTAAAAGATTGTAACCAACATGTGTTGTAAAACTCGCAACCAAAATAAAAGTGTCAGTCATTTTATCACAATATTTAATACCAATAAAATTAATATAAATCATTGTTAGGTAAAACTAATAAGAAAATTACCTTAATTCAATTTAACTAGCTAATTGAGTAGCTAACCTCCCCAAAAGACGTATTTACAAACCACATGTAATTAATTACAAAATTAAATACACATTTATTTCTCTTTATCTTATTATTTAGATGATTGAAGCTTTACTTTATATTATAGTAAAAATGTCATATTAACAAAGCAGTAAAATTCAAACTTTAATAAATGAATTATCAAGACAGTGTTGCTCAAATTATGCTATTCAAAAGGATTATTAAATTTTAATTCTCAAGACAATATATAGAGTTTAATTTCCAAAACAAAACCCCCTAATTCCATTTTTGATATGTCCGTGTTTTATGTTTTACAAGGACCACTCATCTCAGTTTTAGCTACAAAACACAACCTTAAAAAACCAAAGAGTAACTTTTTCCATCACCATACTGACGATCAATAAACTTGGTTTTTATATTAAAATCACAACCAGCTTATTGTGTTTAAATAATACGTACATTAATGATAATATTAAATTAACAAAAATAATATTTAACTATAGGGACATAATCAAGCAAGTGATTTTATACAAACGTGCTATTTTGAAAAAAAACAACTTATAAATGTTTCTTTCATTTACAGCGTGACAGAAGTAAAACACATATTTGGTAACATTAAACATCTATTATAAGTCCGTAGATATTCACGATCCTGCCTCAGAATGCATAGAGATGTGTGTTTAAGGGCCAGTCACGTACTTTTCCAATCTAGAGTCGCCTTCTCCTCTCTTTTAGAAATATTCACACGCGTTCACTGTAGACATTGGTTTAAAAAAATAAAACACTATAAGCATGATTAGTGTGTTTTAAAATTCTCATTATAGAAATTTATCCAATGGTGCAAAGTCATAATAATCATAATATCTTGAAATAAAAAATGTTTTTGTATATTTTAAAACCATATCTGACGTTGATATAATCAAAACAGGCATAAATGTAATATGCCTAATGTGCACTAATGTGACATACATACAAGTATACAGTGACAAGAATCACATTCAGGTTTCAATTGTGAATGTTGACGACTCAGCATTTCCCTTGTTTTGGCGGTGAGTTTTTACAAAGCTCTCCACAACAATAGGGTCTGCGAGTTCCCCAAACAAAACCTCGCCATTCGCATTCAATCCTCTCTGCTGATACCTAAAATCTCTCGGGTCCCATCCACATCGTTTACGTTCTTTCATTAAAAAAATATTAAAAATTGTAGATTTTTCAACTACAGAAGAGGATATTATTTTGAAATACAAAAAAAACATGAGCAGTCGTGTATTGATAGTTTCATGATAATTGAGTTGGTTTAGAGGAAAATATTTGGGGCAGATTTTTTTTTTTTTTAAATGCTGTTACTATCATAACAATATTTCGTAGTTAAATTTTGCTCTTTTATTATAATGTTGGTTAAATATTCTACTTGCAAACAATTAAACTAAAATAAAACTCCTAATTACGGTAGTATTGATGTGTACCAACCGTCAACGAAACAAAAAGATCCGCCATTTTAGATTCTGTTAACAATGGATATTTCATTGGCCCTGGAAAATTGATGACGAAGTTTCGAGTAAACTTTTGGAAGTTAGACTCGTAATTCGATCCAAGTTTTAAATAACGTTTTAAAAGCATATCTGCCATTTAATAACCTTGAAAATTTAGTACCACCATTCTTTTATGAGTTCATTATTTTTACTTTGATTTATTATTTGATTCATGTATTTACATTCACTAACATCCACACAACAAAAATATTAATCGTTATTTTAATTTCTCATTTCCCTATTAACCTAAAAACATAGTTTGACAATTGAAAAAATATATAGGCCTACGGTATTTCATCCAAGGATAGCGTTAACCGTAATAGGTTTGTTAATTATTGTTCATACGGATACGATATGTAAAACACTATCATGTTTGCCAAGAAACATGGAAACAATTCTAAAACAACTTACCTTAAATTGTTTTCTACATTTGTGACTGTAAAGTCGTAAAATTGTATCATAAACAGGAGCACTCTTCATTCGAACAGACAAAGAGACATTTTGTTCATTCTTATTTAAATTGTATACATAAGTCAACATAAATAAAATCAGTCATTATTTCCATCGTTCCTAATATTTTTTTATTTAAATTTATGTTTATTTAGTGATGAGTTTGTGGATCCACTAGATAACACGGTGCTCCAATAAAAGATCATCAACAAAGCCACTATTTTATTTTTACAAGGCACAAATATTGACTGTATGATTTTTTACAACAATTATTATTCAGCTTCGTTGAGTATCAATCACTCTACTATTTCACAATTCAAAACATCACGTTTGGCTAAAAGATGTTTTTACTTACCTAGCACTCGTCAGTTGCTAACAAGGTTTCGTGGAAAATTGTTAACAATTTAACTTCTCGCAAACAAACAGACCTAAAGTTTCAATATTACCACCTTCACTCCAAACCCTCCTTTTTGAAAGAGTGCTTGTTACAAAGTAGTTAAATATTCAGTGGGAAAAGCCCTAAATTAATCCATTAAAAGTTAACTCTCATTCCCTTGAATATTCATCTTAGAACATTTTACTACGAATCAGTTCTTTGAGATCCAATAAAGCTAGATAAACTGTTTTTAAAAACCTATTTAGTTGCATTTTATACTTTTTGGTTTGTTTTGATTTGTTTTCTGATCTGTTTTCAATCATGTTCTTATTTTTTTAACGTTTTTATTAGCTCGCTTTCTTGTCTGGTACAAAGTTTGCAATCAATTTTATACAAACTTTCCGATGAGCAAGAGACTTGAAACTTGAAACATAGCTCACAAATGGAAGACAATGCAATATTATATCATTTAATTTTCATATTTCCCTTGGGCTACGCCCCATGGGCTTGTGTTATTAACTCCCTTTCTTGCAAATTTTGATACTTCCCGATGAGCTAGAGACTTGAAACTTAAAACATAGCTCACAAATGGATAAAAATGCAATATTATATCACTTAATTTTCATATTTCCCTTGGGCTACGCCCCATGGGCTTGTTTTCGTTAGCTCGCTTTCCTACAAATTTAGATATCAATTTTAAACGACGTTCCCGATGAGCTAGAGACTTGAAATTTGGAACATTTTCAACATTTTCATTTGGAACAATGCAATATTATATAATTTAATTTTCATATTTCCCTTGGGCTACGCCCCATGGGCTTCCAAATTTTCCATGTTTACTCTTTTAAAGAATGTAAATATAACAATTAATTTAAGTCAGCTGTAAATACTTAAATTTGACAGTTCGAAGAGCAGAGGTTAAGAGGTACAGGTTATGCTCCCAAAGATTTTTTACACAAACAAACATTTCGAAATAAAGATAAACAATCTGATTGCAGATATAAAGGTGTTTGTTAATAATTCCAATTGTTATTTATTTAGCATTCTATAAAGTAACCAATAAATTAAATAGATCGATATATTTATAGTTAGTAGGTAGGCCATACATTCAATCTAATACATACTTAAATGAAAAGAAAATCAAATAAACCATAGATTTCCCACATGACTCTGTCTTAATCTGATATAGATGCTTGAAATAGATTTAACATCCAAACACATTAAAAACTAAAAAGTAGATAATAATTTATAAATAAAAAAACTTTTTTAAAACAAAAAGTTTTCAAACGCACTAAAAGTAGAAAATAATTTATAAATATGTGGAGAGTATAAATACTTGTAAGATTTAAAACGAAAAACGTGGGGTGCATGCAATTGATTATAATACATTAGTTCAATAGGGGAAGGTAATTGTAAATTATCTATTGCATGCACCCCACGTTTTCCGTTTTAAATCTTACAAGTATTTATACTCTCCACATATTTATAAATTATTTTCTACTTTTTAGTGCGTTTGAAAACGTTTTGTTTTAAAAAGGGTTTTTATTTATAAATTATTATTGTTAATGTTTGTCTATTTTGTTTTTCTTTGATTGAAAACTAGTTTTACTAAATGAAAATTCACAGTTTCATGTTTCATCTATCATCGTTCCCTTCGAATATTAAATAAAAACCCATACAGTGTGATTGAAAAATCCCGAAATGGCATAATATATTGTTTACCATTACAGATAAAGTAATGAGACTTGGCAACAACAATTTATACCTTTTAAACCTAATAT